GAAGAAGGTGGAGAAATCCCGAGGGATGGTGTTAATGTTGAGGTTGCTGATGTCCAGCTCCTGGAGGTTGTGAAGGCTGTGGAAGTCCTCAGCCGGCAACTGGGAGATGCGGGCATTGCCAGCCAGGCTGAGCTTGGTGAGGCTGCCCAGCCGCCGCAGCACCGCGGGGATGCGCTCCAGCAGGTTGTCAGAGACATCCAGCTCGTGGAGGTTGTTCTGGGCCTGGAAGAGCTCTTCGTTTAAGCTTGTCAGGCCCAGCCCTGCAATCTTCAGGGACTCAATGTTGACAGCATGGAAGGCCCCCGGTGCAATGGTGGGGATCTTGTTCCAGCTGATGTCCAGCAGCAGGAGATTGGGCAGGTCAAGGGGGGGCACGGCCCAGAGCTGATTGTTCTGCAGCTTCAGCTCCAGCAGGTTCTCCAGCGTGTTGAAGGCAGCAGCATGGATGTGCTGGATCCTGTTCCTCTGCAGGTAGAGCCGCTCCAGCAGCCGCAGCCCATGGAAGGTCTCATTGGTGATCTCCTGCAGCTGGTTGGAGGACAGGTCCAAGTTGACGAGCTCCGTCAGGGGCTGGAAGATGTTTTTCTGGATGCTGGTGATCTTGTTTTGTGAGAGGTCCAAGAGTTGAAGGGCGGGCAGGCCTGTAAAGCTGTCCTCACTGAGCGTCGTTTTTTTTCTCAAAGACATAGAGGGAGAGGGTGTTGGGGGGCAGCCCCTGAGGCACGGTCTGGCCCCGTCTAGCCGCACACAGGATGGTCTTGGGGTCTTGGCACTGGCAGCCTGCAGGACATGCCCCAGCCAGCTCCGCAGAGGCCAGGAGAAGCAGCATGCAAAGGATCAGCTGGTTCATGGTGTCAGCTCTGCAGGAGAGAGAAATGCAGCCAAGGTTAGGGGCTAGCCCCTGCTGGGGGGGTAATCTGGGCTGGCAGGGCTGTGGGGTGCCTCAGAACCCCCCTGCAACCCCTGCGCCGCTGCCAGGGTGTGAGAGCCATCTCGCTGTGCCCTGCCCGGGACCCTCTGGCCCCAAAGGGACCACGGAGGGAGAAGGAGAGTCCCCAGCAGGCTCCTGTAGTCTGAGGCAGAGCTGGCAAGAGCAAAGCCGCTCATGGGCTGCCCACCCTGGCTCCATGCTCTCCCCGTCCCCCCAGGATTTAAGGGATGTGGTACCTTTGTGCACCCCGGGCTCTACCATGAGACATGT